ATGTCACTTCGTAATGACTCCCCTCTCATTCTCTGGAGATCTCGGCGGGGATCCCTGTCTTCTCTCTTGGCTCCCACTCTCCCCCTTTCTATGAGCCTTTCCTCTGTAAATAACACTCCTGGAATTTCCCTAGTTTTCAGGAAACCATCTGTTTCCCACAGGGACCCTGACGGATGAGACAGCACCATGAATAACAGCGGAAACTAGAGGTCCTAGCACACACTGAGAGCTTGGGGCGGCGGGTGGTTACGTGAAGGTTAAAACATTAGGAAAAACCGGGAATGGAGGGAGTAGTGGACAAGAAGGCCAACCGTCTGGCACACCTGTAGGGCAACCCTGGTGGAAAGATTCCTGAGACAGGTACTTCCACCTCCAGGTGAGGGGATCCAACACCAGGACAGGGCACAGGAGAGGTCAGGATAAGCCAGGGAATGAACTGGTGACTGGGGAGCCCAGGCCTGGCTCTGGCCCCTCTCGCTGTTGGCGCCTGGGATTGCCTAACCTGTGCAATGGCCACGGGGGTGGGGGAGGGAAGGTAAGGACTGAACCAGTTCCGGGATGCAGGTTTGAGCCCTCCCTGTTCCAAGTAGGGATCTACTCTGCAGCCTTGGATGAGGATGGCAGAGCCTTCCAGGCTCCGGAGGACAACTGATCCCCACGCCACCCAACCCAGGCCTTGGAAATATGAGGTGAGACTATGGAATGCTTGCCAAGCATTCAGACTTCATCCCTCATCCCAGGGGACAGCGTCACAAGGCCTGCTTGCAGGCATGTGAACCCCTCTGGAGTCTTGTGTGCCATCTCCTGGCAGGAGTACTCTGTTGACAGTTCCAGTAGGACTTGCGGTTTTTCAGTGGTGTCTTTTTGTTTGCTTGTTGCTTTCTGGGGGAGACAGCAGTGTGCTACGCTGTCAGTGACTGGCAATGGGCTGGAGCCTGAGTCAGCACTGGATACATGAGCATAGATCCTTACAGAATGTTCAAGATCGTCACCTGTTGACCCCAGCTTTTCATTCCATTTAAAAATGTATATGTATTTTTACTAATTACTTAAGAATTTTATAAAATGTGTTTTGATTACATCCACTCCTCACTCCTCCCTCACCAGCACTTGCCATATTAAACATATACATACATATATGTATATAATTACATGAATGTATATGTTTAATAACCCACCACGTCCAATTTGTGCTGCCCATACTCATGGGTATGTGGGATCATCCAGGGGAGTAGGATCCTATACCTCAGGTGTAGACTGTCTCTTGTGGAAGCCATCGTCTGTCAGGAGCACCTGGGAACTTGACTTGATCTTACGCAGGTGTTGTGCAGGCCACTATAACTGCTGTGACTTCATGAGTTCAAGTGGTCCTGTGTGGCCAGAAGATAGATACTGTTTCTGCCTAGTGCCAATCTCTGGCTCTTCTAAGGTGGTCACTAAGATGTGCGTGTGTGGCATGTGTATGCCCGTGTGTGTGCGTGCCCATGTGTATGTGTGTGGTGTGTATGTGCATGCATGTATGTGGCTTATGTGTTTGTGATGTGGTGTGATACAGATGCCCCATGTATAGATGAGCTCTTCACAAACACTCATTCTCTGCCCTGTCTCAGTGGTGAGTTTCTTCATTAACCTCTCCACTGCTCTAAGACACTTCTCTGGTGAGGTCTCAGATCTGCACTAATCAGTGGGTCTAGAGATACAAGTTTACAGGTCAGCCTGATACTATGTTAGGGTCTTCCTGGCTAGGGTTTCTGTTGCTGCCAGCCTGATTCTATGTTAGGGTCTTCATTAGGGTTTGGTTTCCTGTTTAGAAGCCCGCTCCTGATTCAGAGAGGCTAACCTGGAGGTCAGAGGTGAATGCTGAGAGGAAAGGATGGAGGAAAGGGTGTGAAGGCATGTGCCACCAATGCCCGGCTCTCAGTACCTGGTTTTATAATTTTAAAGTACCCTTGCATCATTTAGCGTTTTCTCCTCTGACAGAAATACAAACTCTGTGAGGACAGGGACATCATCTGTCTTGGGCCTAGCACATAGGCACCTTGCTGACTGAATTGGTTTGCTGGCCCCTGGGAGAGACGGAGACATTGACAGGTTAGGGTGGCAGCTTATGTGGGTGATCTTGGCTCAGCAGTCTGGGGGAGTCAGTGAGGCTTCTCCCTGAGCATCTGGGGAAAGCGCAAAGGAAGAGGAACTGAAATGAGAACAGAGTGGAGACATGGCCAGTGCTATCCCCAGTCAGCGAGGCAGATGACTACAGGCCTATCTCCTTGGGAGAGGGAAGTGTTAGGACTTGGGATAGCGAGGCGTGGGCTGCTGGGGGCATGGGAGACGAACATGAAGAGGTAAATTAATGCTGCACTTCGAAAGGTCTTCTGGGTTTAATTGTGCCTGCCCTCAGAATGTGACCGTGACTGCCGATAGAACCTTTGGGAGGAAATTACGGTTAAATGAGCTTCTGTGTGGCGCATGCCTTTAATCCCAGCACTTGGGAGGCAGAGGCAGGAGGATCTCTGTGAATTTGAGGCCAGCCTGGTCTACAGAGCGAGTTCCGGGACAGGCTCCAAAGCTACAAAGAAACCCTGTCTTAAAAAACTTACGACTGGCATCCTATAACAACAGGGAGCGATAGGGATGCGAACACACAGAAGACTCTGGAGGATGGAGTGAGTGCCAGATGTCGGCACACCGCAGTGGGGAACCCACCCTGCCTCCGGTTTCATCTTTTAAATTTGGTCTTGGGCTTCTAGCCTCTAAAACGATTTCTGTCGCCTAAGCTACTCTACTCTGTATGGGGTATTTTTCCATGGTAATCGCAGTAAACTACAAATGTCTTAAAATGTTTATTTTAATATAGTTTGACTCAATTATCAAGAAAAATGTATCTATTGGACTTAAAATTCAAACAAAATGTAATAACAGCCAACTGATGACATAATCTAGGGTAAGTATATATGTCCTGCTATGATGTGGTGAGAGTGCCATACACCTCTGGGACCTTCCTTTGAAATAAGCCTCTAAATTCAGCCTAAGCATGAGAAAAACATCTCATACAGCTCAACAAGGAACCTTCCAGAACATGTGTGGAGTGGCTTTTTGTTAACATGATACAAGCTAGGATCATCTGGGAAGAACCAACCTCAGCTGAGAAAACGCCATCAGGTTGGACATTTTCTTGATAAGTGACTGAAGTGGGAGGGCCCAGCCCACCATGGGTGGCCCTATCCTCCTGGGCAGGTGGTCCTAGGCTATATAAGGAGGCTGAGCGGGCCGTGGGGAACAAGCCAGCACCCTCCATGTCTCTGCTTCAGCTCCTGCCTCCAGGCTCCTCCTGGCCTTCCCATCACGATCGACTACAAGGTTTTTTGTTTTTGTCCTTTTGGTTTTCATCGGAACAGGTTTTCTCTGTGTAACAGCTCTGGCTGACCTGGAATTAGCTCTGTAGCCCAGGCTGGCCTTGAACTCACAGATTCCAAGTGCTGGGACTAAAGGCATGCATGTACTGCCACTGCCGCCACCGCCCGACTGGACTCCCAAGTTTTACACAGAAATAAACCCTGTCTTCCCAAGTTGTTTTCAGTTATGGTACTTATCGCAGTAGTAGAAAGCAAACTGGGCCAGAGCCCCTGATCAATACTCCTCAAAACCACTGAAGTCATAGAACACAGGGAAAGTTCTGAGAAGCCATCACTGCGGAGAGGCTCCTAAAGAACATGCTGACTAAACAGAAAGCGGTGTCCTTGAACACATGTCATCAGGTAGGACTAGAAACCTGGGTGGGGACGTGGGGACGCACACCTTTAATTCCAACACTGGGGAGGCAGAGGCAGGCGGATCTTTGAGTTAGAGGCCAGCCTGGGCTACAGATGGAGTTCCAGGACAGCCAGGGCTACATAGAAAAATTACCACGTCTCAGAACAAAACAAAAAACCCCAACTAGAAGCCTGGGAAAAGGCATTGTGGCATTGTGATATGGGTTCCATCAGCAGTGACAGATGTGCGCAGTTAATTATTAGGCAATAACGAGTAGAAGAGAGGCTGGGGAGTGACCCGTGTCTCAGTTACAGTCTCTGTCACTGTAAAGAGACGTGACCAAGGCAACTCTTATACAGGAAAACATTTAACTGAGGTGGTAGGTTACAGTTTCAGAGATTTAGTCCATTATCATCACGGCAGGGAATGTGGTGGCTGGGATTATGGTAGTGTACAGGCAGACATGGTGCTGGCTGCGCCTTGATCAGAAGGCAACAGAATGTGGTTTGTCTCACTGGGTGTGGTTTGAGCATATATGAGACCTCAAAGCCCACCTCCATAGAGACACACTTCCTCCAACAAGACCACACCTACTGCAACAAGGCCACACCTCCTGATAGTGCCACTCCCTGATATTGGGGGGGGCAATTACATTCAAACTACCACACCCTGTAAACACCAGGACGTGAATTTGTACCGTAGACCCATGTAAAAACCTGGCACAGACCCACACACCTGCAGTCCAGTGAGGGAGACAGACACAGGCAGATCCTTGATGGCCAGCTAGTCTATCAGAATCAACGACCTCCAGATTCAGTGAGAGGTCTTGTCTCCAAAAGTAAGGTAGGAGAGCAAAGACACTGCTCAGGAGTTAGCGCACTGGCTGTTCTTCCAGAGGACCTGGGCTCAATTCAAGACATCCAAATGATGGCTCGCAACCATCTGCAACTCCAGCACCAGGGGGTCTCATGCTGTCTCCTGGCCTCCACAGGCGCAGGCACACATGTGGGGCAGAGACAAACATGCAAGCAAAACCCCCATGCACATAGAATAAGATTTTAAAGTGCTTAGAGCAACCAGGGCTAATAGGCAGCATCAACCTCTGGACTTCACATGTCTGCAGACCACATGCACACACGTAAACGTACACGCATGCACTCCCTCTACACACACCCACAGTGAGAATAATGGTGATAATTAGAGGAAACCGAGCAGGGAAAGTATACAGAGGGCCGCACCTTAACAGTGGCTCCACTGAAGGATTTTTTTACTTGATGTTGGCGCAAAGGGAATGCGACTTCAGTAGAAACCACGTTCCCCCTTTTGAACTTTGATCTTGTTGTGGACCATTAGTGCTCAGTTCACTACACCAAGGTGATTCTGAACAGCAGGAGAGTCATAATCCCATCAGCTGTGCCTTCACCACGGGAAACGGCTCTGGTGCTCTGAGGATGACAGGCCTGCTAACTGCATCTTCCACAATGCCGCTTTCCACACAGGCATGCTGACTGGAACACAGTCCCAGGAAGAGGAGGGGCGGCTGCAAAGGGGGCTGTAAATATTCTCCAACTTTAAAACTGTTCTGAAAATGAGGTTCATTAAACAAACAAAAACAAGAAGCTAACACCTAGTAGTGCAGTCTTACTCTGACTTGCATCTGTCCCTGGGGCTCCCGGTTCCGGTCCCCACCCGCAGGTGTCCTGTATTAATGCTCAGTGGAACCCTCCCAGAACTTCCTTATGCAAATGTGAGTATACGATGATTTCTGTCAAGAGCGTTTTAATTTGCTTTGAAGGACATTTAATCACTTTTAATGTACAATACTAGAAATGTACAAACAGGGGAGGGCAACACGTCCCACGGGCTCACCGCCCGGCACCAACAACGACTGAGAATTTACCAGCTGCTTCTCAGCTGGTCCTTTCCCTCTGAAGCCAACTGTAGTCTAGACCTCTCACCTAGTCTAGGATGCATCTCTGAGCAACATGGACATCTTATATAACCCTAATGCCTGCATTATGCCATTAATGAGATTCAGGCAGGTCTCTGATGAACTCTGGTGTAGGTGATGGGAGATATTGTGGGGTCTGTGGTGAATTTGTGTGTCTGTGCTCCAGGAGCTGTTGGGAATGGTTGGGGCTTGAGGAAGTTAAAGCCTGGGTGGGGGGCAATTATAAATGTGTTTGTTGAGGTACAAGGAGATGTGGCCTGATGTCTAACGTGACCTGTGGAATGGAGAGGAGCTACTGGCCAGCCTGGCTTGGTAAAAACTGCCTGGAGGCGATCCTGGAGGGTACAGGGGTGTCACTGCAGAGGCCAGGCACAGGCAGGTAAGAGTTAGGGGCTTGAGAGACGGCTCAGATGTTGAGAGTACTTGCTGTTTTTCCAGCATTCATGTTAGGCAGCTCATAAGCGCCTGCCACTTCAGCTCCAGACACCCGAAGCCTTGAAATGCATGTATGTATAAACAAATATACAAGGCTATATGCATAAATAAAGCTTTAGATTTGTTTTTATATGGGTTTTGCTAGTATATATGTCTGTGTAGCACGTGTGCCCACCTGAAGAGGATAGAAGAGGAGTGTCACTTCATTGTAACTGGGGTTACAGACGGTCATGGGTGGCCTTGTGGGCTGGCTGTCCTGGAACTCTCTGTAGACCAGGCTGAGCTGGAACTCATACAGATCCACCTGTCTCTGCCTCCCGAGTGCTGGGATTAAAGACGTTGCACTACCACTGCCCAGCAACATTTTTTTTATAAGTAAGATTTTGTGGTCAAGGTCCTTTTAGGAGAGTGGGTGGCATTTCTCTGGGCCTGTCTTTCGTTGGGCATACATGAGTCAACATCTATCCCTTCACAACTCATGGACATGAGCATGTCACGACAGACTCTTCTGCTTCAGATGGGGAATCAAGGCTCAGAGAGGCAGTCATGTGCCCGAGAACTTACAGGAAGTGGAGCCGAGCTGGAAATGGGGCCCAGGTCTCTTGACATCTAATATAGCATCACTCATTCCCAAAACTTCCTCTTCCCTCAAAGCCCTGCTCCCAGAATGGATGTGTCACCGGCCATTCATGGTCCACACGAATTAAGTCTCAAAACCCTAGGGACGTTTGTACACTAAACCTGCTTGCTAACGATAACGTAACTAAGGAATTCGCAGGGCAGCTGGCGCATGCCACAAACTGCTGGGAGCATGTCATACATCACACCTGAGCTCCCCCAGAGAGATGCTATTACCCTACCGTATCCTATGACGGGAGACACGCTTGCCCAAGATCCCACAGCGAGGGCGTGTCAGCAGTGGTGTCCAACCAAGTCTGCTCAACTGGAAAGTTCACGCTCTCATCACTAACCCCCGTGGCCTCCTAAGCACAGGCGTGGCTGCCCACGAAGGGGGCTGGTGTAACCCTGGCCTCCTCCCTCTCTGCCCCCACTTAGCAGCAGCCTCCCGCCACTCAGAGAAACAGACTGCCCCTGAGCAGCGCCTGCTGCCCTCTCCAGGGGCTGGGTACTCCCCAGGGTGGTCTACCCCTTCTGTGTGGGGGTCACCCACCGGTCTTCATGTTCCTGGAAGCTCATGGACGTTTAAGCCCGGTGCAGTTCATCAGTCGCTGTGTCTCGTCCGTCAGAGTTCGGGCGGATGGCACCCTGTGGAGCGCTCAGAAAGGGTGCCTGCCCACCCGGCAGCCTCGGCTGAGGGTCTGCTCTGGTCTCTGCCGCTCAGGCTCCCAGACCGGAGGCCAAGGTGACACGGCTGACAGGGTTCTAAAGGCAGACCTGGACCCTGAAGATGGAGACTGGACCCCGGCCCGGGACGCTCCAGCGGGATGGCCAAGGATAGTGACACAGGTGGGCACGGGCGCGGGATGGGAACCCGTGTGTCGTGTCAAGGAAGGCCGAAGCGCTGCAGGCTGCGGTGGACGCTGGGCGGAGGGAGACCCAGATCCCCGGGGCCCACGGCACCGAGCGGCGTGCAGGCTGCTGATGTAGAGGGGGCACCGTGCGCCCGCCTCATCGGTTCCGGCGGGCAGCTTTCCTTACACCTCGCTGCACACCCCGGGGGCCAGCACCGGGCAGAGGTCGGCGGCCGGCTCGCCGCGGGCCTCCCGATCTGCGGTTCGAGTGCCCTCCGGTCGCGACACTGCGGGACCCTCCCCCTCCCTCCCCCGCCTGCCCTTCCCTCTCCGCCCTTCCCTTTCTATTCGTCCGAGGTGACCCCGTAGCCGAAGTGTCGCAGACTCGGGGTCCGCAGGGGTCCCCCGGAGCCCCAACACCCACTCGGCCTGCTTGCAGGGGAGGGGGCGGGGCCGGCGTCCGCAGCGCGCGCCCCTCCCCCGCCGCCTGGAGCGCGGACGCGCACGAGCGCGCCCCTCACCTGGCCGCAGCGGAGTCGCCCCGCCCCCTCATCTCGCCCCCACCACCGGACCAATCAGAGGCGGCGTAGGCGGTAGGGGGGGCGACGCGCTGGGCGGGGCCTACGCAGCCTGCAGGGTGAGCCGAGCGGGTGGCGGAAGGCGGCCGGCTTCAGCAGAGGCGGCGGCGGCGGCGGCGGAGGGACGGCGACGCGGCACGCGGGGCGGCGCGACCGGACGGGCGAGGGCTGCGCGGCTCTCCGCAGCCGCCGCCTCGCCACAGCCGGGTCACAGGGCGCCGCAGCGGGTGCGCGGCCTGTGAGGCGGCCGGAGCGGCGTCCTGTCAGGCGGCGAGGGCGCGGCGGACGGCGCCGCGATGATGCCGGTGGGTGCGGGCGGCGGCGCCGCGTTCCCCGGCCCCCGCGCGAGGCGGGCTGGACAGGGAGGGAGCGGCAGCGGGCGGGCGGGCTGGCGGGCGCGCCGGGAGGGCAGGCCGAGGGGCAGGTGGGGGCGGTGGCTGTCAGCGGGCGAGCGGGCGGGCGGGCGTGGGCGGGGTCGCGGGACCCGGTGCGCGGCCTCCGCAGAGCTGCAGGCTGCGCGGGGCCACGGGCGTGTTCGGCCCCTCCTGGTGAGCGACCCGTGTGCCTCGGTGTCCCCGCGGTGCTTTGGGGAGCCCGCGGCGACGGCACCCGGCTGCGGTGTTCCCACGCTCCGAAAGCACGTTTCCCTTGCTCTGGTTGGAACGCACGCCGTGCGTGGATTCAGAGAGCCATCTTAGGATTCCCCTGGCCGAGGCTTCCCCGTGGGTGCGTTTGCTCCACCTGGCGTGATGTCCCTGTGACCCGAAGGGCGAGCCTTTGTCCTGCTCTCAAGGATGCTTTTGGCCAGCAAGACGCTCCTCTTTGGGCTTGCCGCCCTCCCTGCCTTTTCCTTTGCCTGCGATCCAAGCAGCGCTGGGTGCTCAATTCTCATTTTATTTTATTTTATTTTATTTTATTTAAATAGGCTTTTTGTGAAGTGTAAACGTCGTGATTAATGAAGAAAGCGTGAGATGGGTTGTACCCATTTGGACGTGTTGTTTTCTTGAGTGTCTGTTGAGTATAATTATCAGACACAATCTTTTTTTGTTGTTCGTTTGTTTTCAAAGTGCTGGGGATCAAACCTGAGCTTTACACGGCTAGGCCAGTGCTCTACCGCTGAGTTATATGTCCCCAGATCCACAATTTTTTTTAAGTCTGCGTGAAAGATCACGTTTCAGAGGGGAAGTGTAGTCTCTGCATATTTACTTGAATACTGGCGTTCTGCAATGCTTGCACCCAAGCTCGTTAACTCATGTGCCCACCCCCCTTTTCAAATAATTTCCTGTTTCTTGATAATCTGTTCGCCCCCTTTTGAACTGATGTTTGTGGAGTTTCAAGATTTGACCTACTTGATCCTTAATTCCTTTGACGTTAGACTTGTTAATTCTAAACCTGTGTTTCAACGACTGTCTTGTAATGGAAAGAGTATTAAGTGAGCATCAGAGGATCTGGAGTCAAGTAATTGTTCTGGTACTTTTTTAGTAATGTGACCTTGAAAGAGTTGAGGTCTGAGTCTGAAATTATCTCTAAATAGGGATTTTAAAAAACCTGTCAGTATTGAAGTGTGATCCTGAAGATCAACCAGGATGTGTGTCGTGCCTTATTTTTAATATTGTTTTGAGTTTTCAATTTGTAATTTTAATCTCTTCGAGATACACCTAAGCAGTTATTTCCTCCTTTTTCTTATGGGCTGAATGTTGTAGAGGCATTGTATTTTGGTATTTCGAAAGCAATTTCAGCTAAGACTGGGTAATTATGGTGATAATGCATTTGTACTATAATAATATTGAAGGTTATCAAATATTTGGCCGGTTTTATCATTGTATAGTGTTTAATTATAACACCCTGTTAGGAAACCTGCACTACTTCTCCCATCTGTTAGCTCAGACATTTTTACTTCTGTCCAGGTGATTGGACTTCCCAGTCTATGGTAACAGATTTTGTTTTAGGAAGTTTGTCTCACCTGGGGTTTGGGATATTTATTTTAAAAACTCAAGTGTTTTTTTTAAAGCAGGTCTTTTATGAATTTAACACTGCTTTTGTCTTAAGATACTTTGAGAATCAGATGATAGTTTTCTTAATCCCTCTCTTGTGTCTTTTACTTATGTATTTCCTTCTTTATGTCTGAAAATACGACTTGTGGGATCAAGTACCCCCTCTGTTAACACAGGTGGAGATGCCTGTAACTTCAGTAGAACTTTTAAGAACATACCTTTCTTTCTTGATGGTATCTTACACTATGTATCCAAAGTGGAAATGTGATTTTTTTTTTCTGGCTTTACTGAATATTTGGTGTCTGTCATCACAGTGAATCATCAAAGAAAGATTTGTTCTTATTTTGTGGTTGTACAAAGCAGCAGACTGTTAGAGTGTAATACACACTATGATCAAATGCAATTTAAAATATCCTAGTTAAGGCCTGGTGTGGTGTCTCACACTTTTAATCCCAGCACTCAGGAGGCAGAAGCAGGTGGCTCTCTATGATTTGGAGGCCAACCTGGTGTACGAGTCAAGTTCCAGGACAGCTAGGGCTGTTATACAGAGAAGTCATATCTCAAAAGCCACCCTCCCCCCAAATAATTAAAATATCCTAGTTACTATAAAAATGAACAAAGTATCTTGCTTCATATCTTTTTTTACCTGTGTTTTTCTGAATTCTGATTTTAAAATGACATTTATTTGTTGTATGTGTGTATGCACAGTACCGCCATTAAGCATGCAGGTCAGAAGGCCACTTACAGAAGAAGGTTCTCTCCTTCCACCAAGTGGGTCTCTGGGATCAAACTCAGGTTGCCAGGCTTAATGGAAAGTGGCTTCACCCACTGAGCCTTCTCACTGGTCACTTGCACTGTGATTTTAAAAAGCCCATGCCTAAAAAGAGTCACCAGTGTGATGGTGGGCTTTTGTAGTTGTTTACATAATGGACTGTTACTTAGATGTTGAGAAAAATGAAGTTCTGAAATTTCTAGGTAAATGGATGGAACTAGAAAAAAAATCATACTGAAAGAAGTAACCCAGGCCCTAAAAGACAAATGTTGTGTGTTTTTTCTTATATCTGGATGCTAGCTTTAGTCTTTTGATATGTGTGCTGCAGTCCACAGAAGTTAGGCACCGAGAGAGAGAGAGAGACAGAGAGAGACAGAGAGAGACAGAGAGAGACAGAAAGACAGAGAGAGAGAGAGAGAGAGAGAGAGAGAGAGAGAGAGAGACAGAGAGAGAGAGAGAGAGAGAGAGAGAGAGAGAGAGAGAGAGAGAGAGAGAGGAGGAACAGGTCTCCCAAAGAAGAGGAAATAGAATACAGTGCTATGGAGGAGGGCTAAGTACGGAGGGGGAGGCAGAACAGTGTAAAGGAGGGAATGTGGAGAGTGACCACTAACACTAAAAGCCATTTGAGAAACCATATGGAAACCTACTACTCCAGAAGCTTCCTATAACAGACATATGTGAAAGGAACCTAAATGGAGTCACAAAATAATAGGGGAGACGGTGCTCCAACTAGACATCTTAGGCCACCAAGCAAAACCTCCTGTGCCAGGAGCGGGTTAGGTCTTGTTTAGTTGTTGGCTAAAGGGACCCAGTGGAAACCCCCAAACATCACAGGCTATTGCCAAGGCTGTTTGTTACCCTCCACAGTTTGATGGTAAGGCCCTATTGCTGAAGACAGCACTTATGTCAGAGAACATGGAAGAGTTGAGCCGGCGCCTCCTACTGACAAACATTCATGGTACTGGAAGAGGAAGGTAACTGTCAGTATCACCTAGCTAGGATCCCTGAGACCTGCAGCCGTGACCTGCCTGCGTACGCTAGTGTAACAGTGGCACGGATGTCAGGAGAGTAACCACTCGCTAGACTCACCCCATGATGAGTGAGAGCCTTACCTGACACTGCTGAAGTGACTAAGAACCTCAGACTAGATAGGTCACAGGCCTAGGGGAGAATCCACTCTTGTGTTAAAGGAACAGTAACGTACTGACTTCAGTGGTGTACTGCTATATGCATAGATGAGTGCCTCTCAACACACACCAGAGAAGCTTCTGTTTGCAGTTGGTGGGAATGAGCACACAACTGGACGGCGTGCATAGAGAGATAGAGACCCTAGAGCACTGGGTCCTAAATGGGGCGTCTTCAGGGAGCTGTGAAAAAGAGGAGGCAGAAAGATCCTAAGAGCCAGAGGTTTTGGACAGCACCAAGTATTAGCTGTTTTCCAGACGCAGCAGGGCATGCACACGTGAACTTACAGAGACAGGCAGCAGACAGTAAGACCTCCATAAGCACACACCAGACAGCCTCCCACCACTGAGAGGGGAAGGTGATGGCCATTAATACCCACTGTCAAAGGGCAATCAGGTTCTAACCAGTCGAGTTTCACTGGATTATATCAACCACACTTCAGGGCGGCTCCCATGCTCAGTAGTTAGCCAATACAAAACAGACTCAACCGTGTTCTTTTTTTTGTTTGTTTTTGTTTTACTGGTCTTTTGCTTGATGTTTTGATTTTCGTTTTTGTGAGTTGTGTGTGTATATGTGTGCGTGAGCACTTCTTTTGTTGTTGAAAAGGAAGAACAAAGCAGGGTGGATAGGGAGGTGGGAAGGACACAAGAGAAATTGGAAGAGGGGAAAACATGCTCAAAATATATTTTTGAAAAATTACTTTCAACAAAAAAAAATGCATTTCCTAACCCTGTCCCCAAAGATAGTCTGCCTAAGA